CTCCTCTGGCTATATCGTCTATATCGTGATTGATCCTCTTCACTTTTGATACCACCCATCACTTTAACAAATCGCAAGATATGCGTTAATTCCTGCGGTAGATGAAGTATTTAGACAAATCAGCGCAGACGACGCTTTGTGATGATATTTTTAATGCAGGTGGTATTCGAGCAAAAATGGCTGCAGTCATGTGAGACTCTGTTCACTAGGCGGATAGATAAGATGTTTCAAGTAGAAATGGTTAAGAGCAGATAGCTTGCTGATGTCTTCCACTTTCATTGGCCAAGTTTCGCTCTATAGAATCTATAGAATTGTAGCCAGACAGATGCGAGCTTTTTTAAGTTTTCTTTTAGGGCTTATTTCTCCGCGATTCTAAAGTGTTTTCGTCAGGTGAAAGAAGGCATCTGATATATATAAAACGGAACTCTTCACACCAGCGCACACTTTAGAAGGTTGTATTAGCGCAATCATACTAAATGCAAACGCTTAAATGAATATTTAAATTATTCAATGATATGGGCTATTTTAGATGTGATAACGATTTTAAAAAAGACGACACTAAAGACGCTCTAAGGTGATGCTGGCGACTCTCCTGTATTTCTATCGCCAAGGAACTCCCTGGCGTATTGCCCAATGCGACAAGCCAGTGGAGCGAGTTTAACCAGTAATGGTGAGGACTCTTAAAAGAAAGAATATTTTAAGAATATGTTCTGAAGTGAAGAGGTTATCATTTAGCTATTTCAAAAATGATTAGGATTGTCAGATTCTATTATCATTTCACATTATCTTTATTAGATCAATGCTATTCACCATATTATCATTCATTAGATATAGATATAAGTAGAGCAGCTCATTTTGTTGTAGTCTCTTTCGGAGCCGCAGTGCTGAGATTCTGTTTCCACAGTATATAAATCTAATTTTATATACTTATATCCATATCTATTTTATATAATATATCTATTTTGATAAAATCTGTTTGATATTGGCGGCACTTGTGGTTCTATTGCCAAATGGCTCTCTAATAAAATTTTTCTGATCCTGCAAGCCAGTCGAGTAAGCGTTACCACGTGCTTTTTTTTTTTAAAAAACAGTAGACCAGCAACCGTTGAGAAGATCATTAATCAGACTGTGAAGCAAGTCAACCAAGGGTACATGTAAATTGTTTCACATGAGAGTCATAGTTCTAATGGCCTCTCGCTTGACAAGAGAAAAATCGGATGAAAACGATGAGTTCCATCTAGTTTCACCGTAGCAGTCACCCTAACCAATTAAACAAAATGGAAAGATGAAGATTTGATAAAGATGTTCGGAAAGATATTCCTAATAGTTTAATTACAACTAAATCGTTGAATGGGTCAATCAGTAGGTCATTAATCAAATCATTCGCAACAACTGCTTTCTGATAAAACTCCCAAGTGGCTGATCAAACACCATCAATAAATAAAGTGCTAATAAGAAATCTTTCATTCTCTTCATTTTCCGCGATTTTTATCTATGAATTACCTTAATTATCTTCACCGTTGTTATCACCAATTATTTATTTGCTTGTTTATTTAATTGCTTATAGAATTGCTAATCGTTAAATTAATTTTCATTTTTAAAAAATGTTTTTAAAAATTCTGTAAAAACAGGTAAATTTATTAGTTTTAATCGGCTAAAAACCATAATTTTCGATAAAAATCTTTTAGAAATGAATAGAGAAAAGAATGTTGTTGACACTTTCGTTGATAATATGAAAAAATTTGATAATCAAAAACGCTTCAATAATGTTAGTTTACTTTTTTTAAATTTATAAAAATTATTCTTTTTTTCGAAACAGAACAAACTGCAAGATTTGTCATATAATTTACCAACATTTGCATATGGTTTCATAACGTCCGCATGCATCTTTGCGTGTTTACAGCCATTTTTATAACCATTAAACAATGAAATATGTTTGGTCAAAGAGGAAATTACTAAGAGTTTTAAGGCAAAAAATAAAAAAGAGCACCGAATGGTGCATTTAAACGAAATAAAGGGATTTCTTGAGATACTAAGAAAGTGCGTTTTCCAGTGTTACAAAACTGCTTCATGAACCACACAGTTCTCCGCATTCTTTTCGCAGACCCCTTTCCCTTCCTATTCCCTTTTTTTCTACGCACACTATTCTTCCTTAACCAAAAATTAGCATTGAATAACGCCTTAAGCTGACTTTTAGTCACTATTGGAAAGATTTAAATGTCGGTTGCAGCTTGATTCGGTTCCTTGGCTGGCCGAATGGCTATCTATTCAGCCTGTGGCACATTTCTTTGCCTCTTCGTTCCGGTTGCTGGCCATCTAATAATAATTCTAAATGTGGTAAATCGGACGTGTCTGAGCTTTCGGCCTCTTTGCGCGGAATTGTCTTGGACTTCACATAAAATTCTTATATTATATTGTTAAATACAAAAAATACATTTAAAATTTATACGAATTGCCGAATAATTTGCGCTAAATGATTCGTTTGGCCGATCTCATACAATTATTTATTTGGATTTCATTATAATTTTCTTTATTGGATGATTTTTTTTGAAATATTTTGTATTTAAATATTTTCGATATATTGAAATTTGAAAGAATCATCACTTGAAATTGCAGTTGGGAATTGCGCGAAATACTCGTTTAATCGAGAATATTGTGCAGTTGCAGTTACATTTTTGGACATTTGTGCTGGCGTCCCTGCACTGTTACGCATGGAGAAGAAGGCAGCAACGATTTGCAAATTTCTTTTTCGTCTTATTTTTTGTTGTTCCGTTCGGTTTGATTTTTTTCTGTTTTTAATTTGAGATCATTTCCAAGTTTGGGTGGAAACTAGGATGGCCGACTGGTTTGTTGCTTCGGCTGAAGTTATCGTAGCTTCGATCCCTTCCTGTTGATGGGAACTCATCGAAAGTGTAGTATTGCTAGTGCCAAGTGACTGCTTCACGCTTATGGCCAGTGTGGCTAAGTAAATAAGGAATTGCGAGTGCTGTTAGAAATTTAGGTGGGGTCTCCATTCCTGGACAAGGGAAGTTTCTGGAAGAGCATGGCGTCCACAGTTGTCCATTTTCTTCAAACTTGAGTGGTCTTTTTTTCTGTGTATATGGTTTTGTTTATTGTTTATTGTTTTATGGTAATTGTTGCTTGTCTGCTCTTCAGCAGGAAAATTCCGAGTTCGAATTTCTTCAGCTTTCCCCTCACGGCAAATTTATTTTATTTGCCGCATAAAAATCTACTTCTGAAGGTTTTTGGCTGCCTAACTTTATGAGTTCTTTTATCTTTATTTGTTTTAGTATTATCAGTATGTTGCTTCGTCTCAGCAATGATAACGGGGATAATATGTTTGGGTTATATTTTTTCATTCTTTCCGTCAGTTCGAAATAGGGTACTTCAAGATCCAACTACAGGTTAATCTATGAAACAATTTATTTACAATTAAATATAAATAATATATTGAATATTAACATACATATTATACATTATAATTCACAGTCATTTTTTTTTCTGTTCATAGTTGTTTATGATTAAATAAGTCCTAATTTCAGAAAAAAACTTTCAAAAACTAATCTTTTTTTAAAAACTTTCCTTTCAGCTGTAATAAATCTGAAATAAGTAAAGAAGTAATAAAGAAGCAGTGAGATCTTTCGTATTTAAGGTTTAGCTAAAAGTTTCTATTGTTCCTGCGCTATCATTTTTATCATTCTTTTTAAGGCCAAACGGCCTATCCTCGGCTTCGTCGTTTATCATCAGTTATATCTTCCCGAAAATCATCGGTATCGTCTCAGATTTCACGTGATTCTTTAATTCATTCTAGTATTTCTTAATTTTTATCGCTGTATATAACTTATAGTTTTTTTATTAATTTGTTTTTACGCTATATTTTTTTCTACTATTGAGAATCAATATTTTGTGTGAGAATTATTTTGTGAACTATTTTTAAAATTATCTACTGCTCACTTAATTTTTTGTTCTGTTGTACCAGTTAATGGATTGGAAATTAATTAAACCAATTTTTTAAAGAAATTGATGGATGCTTCAACGTAGTAGTTGTATTTGATTGATTTGTTAAAAGAAAATAGATAGTTGTAAATTTTAAACGACCTAATTTCAACAGTTTAATTAGTTGATTATTTAATTGGATTGATCAGCGATATAAAAAATAATTTTTCCAACTTGTCAATAACATTCGTTTTGTGTGACTATTCAATCTTTTTTGTTAGTTTTTTAATATTTACAGGTAAAACCTGAAATTTATTTTATTTTAGATAGATTTATTTAATGGATTAGCCTATTGTTTTAAAATTTTTTGCCGAAGAGTTTATTTCTTCTTTTCCGCTTTCTTCTAATAGATCTGACCATTATACTGGTTAGGCTGACTCCGCTGGCTACAAGGGTAAGATGTCTCCAAGCTGCTCGGTCTGATGCCATCGCTAGTAGCAATAGAAGCTATTTCCTTTTCCATCGTTTAAGTCCGTGTGTCGTTGGTTCCCCTTTACGCTCAAAATCTTTCCTGACTGTCACTCCAGGTCTTGATTGGCTCTTCTTCGATTTTGACGGCAACCATCACAGGGTTCGGCAAGTAGCGAAATATGCGTCAGCCAACTTCTATGGTGGATGATGGAAAATGTGCCCAAACCAACGAAGGCAAACGCTCAATGATTATTAATATAGGTCGTATTTGAGCGAAGATGCATATAATTATGTGCAATTTTATCCGCTCGATGGAAAAAGCAATGACTTTTATTGATCTTTTTCTCTTTCACTAATAGAAAGCAAATTGAGATGATAAGAAATTAAACAAATGTTTGAAAAATTGAAACTAATAAAATATTTTCTTAAAAAAAGGAATATTTTTTAAATTTCACTTAAATAGCACAAATGAGATTGGCAAATTTACAAATAAACTATAAGAACTACAACACTATCGACTTTTTTTCTTATTGTTTTGAAAGAAATTATAGCGAAAATATCAAAAAAAACGAACATAGCAAAAAAAGTCGACATTAAGTATCATTATCACTCCATGAATCAAGTTCAAGAAATGAATATTTTGTCATTTCGTTGCATGGATAATCAGTCTTCGGTATCCATTGTGAAATTTCTGATCCCAGTGCAAATATCTAAGAACATTATTGCATTTTTTTAATATATATATTATTCTTAGAATTTTTATAATCTTTCGCTTATTGTTAAATTTTTTTAACAATTATAATTTTAAATTGCAAGCAAAAAATGAATTGTTTTTTAATAAAATATATTAATTTTTCGTTTGAATTTAGTTCTATTAAAGTGAGAAAACATTCATACATGGTTATTATCGCTATTGTAGATAACAAAATTACAATCAGAATCGGTTTCCCAATCTCGCACAAAATATCCTTCATCACCCAATAAGCTGATAATTTCAATTTTTTTTCCATGTGGTAGAAATAAACGAAGGTCGCCATTTTCAGAATATAAATCAAATTTTACAACATCGAAATCTCTGGTTTTTGGACCAAGCTTAATATAAAACAAACTTGAAATTTAGGAAAGCTTTTATTAAATAATTAATGAATACAAAATAGATAAAAATGAATTTTACTGAGAAAACGAACTTTTATACGTGAATAAAGCTGCATATTATGCGTTCTATATATGCACAATTCTCTTTGACATAAACAAGCAACAAACAAACCATCATTGGAACAACGAATACACAATACTTTTGATTTCAATTGAATATTTAGATGTTTAAATCGATGCCCATTCCTAAAATAAATGAAAGAACATAAAAATTTTTTTCTTAAAAATTTTTTTCGATCTAACGATTCAATACGAATTGAAAACGATTTTAAAATGATTTTAAATTTTTGTATCTTTTATAGTAAATAATTTTACAATAAAAAACTCATTTGAAAAAGTTTATAAAATGGAACAAAACCTGAGAAATGAGATATTAACGAACTCAATAATAAAAAAAATGAGGTTTTGGAATTAAGGCTTGGTGGTGGTAATTCATTTACCTGGTATCAAAAAGGTATAGTTCATTGGTGTTGCTAGCGGAAAATATTAGATGGTCACTATCAACCACCCACTGTACGGATGTACTTGGTGTACAATCAAGAAACTGCCGTTCATCAAATCTTCTAGAAATAAAACTATCATATAATGAAAAGAAAAAATTACTTGAAAAGAACCTTGAATAAAAAGATTCATACAAATGAATATGAAAATTTATGAAAATAAAAGCCTTAGATTACAATAAATAACAACGACCTCATATCCATAATACATGTTCCATTTTCACCTGACAAGCCAATTAAATAGTTGTAGCGATTCCAGTTAAAATATGAAAATCCTTTAACAGAAATCAAACAACGATCGTCCAGAGATGTTTCTGGATCGAAAGCCTAAAGAAAAAAGTTTATAAGAATTAATGGAACTAATATAAATGTAACTAATATATAATGGAACTAAATAAAAATCATAAAAAAATATAAACTGCTAATGAATTCTGAATTTCATTAAACTGATAAACTATTTAATAAATCAGTTGCCAAGATAAAAAAAACACACTGAAAAACTGCTTTTCGAACTAATCGCGCATATACGATCATTCACAGGAGACCATTCGCAATGACAAATATGATGAAGGTTACTGAAATTTGAGAAAATAATCAATTTAAAATACTTGATCTTACTTGACCTTAGTTGAGGTAACATCATTTATTAGCCACTGGGCGCTTTTTTAACATGTTCGTTTTCTATCAAAAAAATTTTATCGATTATAATATTCACAAAATCCTAAAATATAAAACCCATCTGATAATTTTTAGATTTTGCGACGAGTTATAATGAAAAAAGAAGTGATAGTGACAAAATTTAAATCGTCAAAACTAAAAAAAACCATCAATACTTGTAAATCTATTCCAAATAATTCTATGGTTAAAAGGTCAAATATTTTAATACGGTGTTCTCCGACGCACATGATACCCCCAGCATAGTGGTACATGCCATAAGTATACAATCTGCACGTAGTAAAACAACCTCAAGTCTTGAGAATATGATGTGCTCTTGAGCCAGAGTAATTGCTCGAAACTGTCAAGAGGAATGGAATATGAGAAAAAAAAATTGCCCGATGGTACTCTGCACGAGCAGCGTACTGGCCATAGCTGCTTAGAATGTCAGAACGCTTATAGACATTGTAAGCCAAGCGATCACTGCCCACATTCTTTCCAAATATCGCTTGCTTGTTGGAAATTTTCCTCACTTCTGATCTCGAATAATTATTAAATCAGGTTCTCAAGTAGAGGTACTCTGTCATTGCGATGTTTCGGACAAATTGGAGTGAAATGGCATAGCGATTGTCTGAAAAAAGTCTGATTGAGAAGCGAGTAAAAGACCGTATAACTTGTCCTCACTTCAAAGGAAAGTTCTGAAATATTCGGTCATCAATACATATGCTCCAGATGCGCAGATGACCACACAAGGACAAGTTCTATGCGGAATTTCAACTATTAATAACAACTCTGCCAGAAGATTACATGGCCATAATCGAGGGAGAATGGAATGCACAAGTCACAATGCCACCACGATGAATTCCATAACTGGTAAATAAATATGGCATCGGAGTCAAGTGTGAAAATGGAGAACACTTTTTTCACTTTCCTGAACAGGACTTTTAAAGTTTTTAATATATAGTTTCTAATATATGCCTTTGGCATGGGAGATCTATGTAGTCAGGTGAAACTCCCTAGAGTAATGCTCCAACCAGGTTAATTTTAGTCAATCGCAATTAGAAGAGTACCGTAAACAGTATTTCTTATGGGGAAGCTTAGACTGGCAACCTTCATGGATCAGACTATGTTATCGTCCCAAAATTTGCATAAAACTGACAAATCGCAATAAAACCTTTCAATTATCTCAAATTAAAAAATTTAGGGATAATGAGCTCACTTCAAATCAAATTACTGAAACACCTCAATGAAATAAATATCAATAACATCTCTGGAACGACGGAAAAATACTGGCCTCCAACTAAAGGCACGTCTCCGAAAGTCAGCCACTTCCATTAAGATATACTTCCATACTAAGATATAAGAAATGTGCTAATTGTACAGCTATCTGAAAAGATGCAATAATTACAATAAGACCAGATGCTTCAAAGAATTACGACAGCAGCATGGCGAGACACAAATCATTGTTGGAACGGATTGGTCTTTAAAATGGAAACGGTTGCTGCTATTAAGAATCGCCTCATAAGATGGAAGGAATTCTTTGAAACCAAGCTTAACCATGACGCGCTATCTGTTGACCTGGACACAGCTAATACGTTCGTCGAACGTTTGCAATTGCGAACCGCCAAAAGAAAAAGTAACAATCTCCGTTATCTATAAGCTTAAGAAAACTCCTGAGGAAGATATTCTTTAGGCCGAACTCTTCAAATGTTTTCCATCATCCTTTATATCAAATACATATATACTCTCTGAAAAAAATACCTCTGAAAAAAAAATATGAAAGAATGAAAAAATACCAGATGACTGGAGCAAAGCAATTCCAATTCCTTCCAATGCTTCCAATTCCTATGAAAAGTGACATACTATCTGAGAATAAGCTTACTAGACATCTCAAGAAAAATTTTTGCTTCTCTCTTGCTGAATAAACTTATGGGAAGTATAAGAGAGCAGAATATGCCCTAACCAAGCTGGATTCAGACCAGGATGCGATTGTGCTGACCAAATATTTACGCTAAGAAAGATTTTGGAATATGGCTTCAAATACCAACAACCCACCGTCAATTGCATTATCGATTTTGCAGCTGCCTTCGATTCGACTGATAGCTCAGCGACTTCGAAAGTGATACAATGTGTCGATGTACCAGAGAAGATCATCCGGTTCATAAAGGTCAATTTTATCAGCGTATATCTTGCACAGGTCTGTCTATGTCACAGACTGACAGAATCCTTCAAAATAAGAACTGTCCATCAATGCTACGTGCTTTTCCCAACAATATTCAATTATACGATAAACTGGATAATGGACATGACTTGCCAGTACTAAAGATGTCAGTACAAATATATCAGTCCAGAGCATAGTATCATAGGCCTTGAACATGCAGATAACCTTTTTTACTGAAAGTTATGAAATGCAAATGATGCTAAATAATGCGTCGACAACTATAGCGGACTTTTCGTCTTACATATAAAAAGCTGATAAAATATTTATTTTTATCAAATCATTGCCGGTTTCTGGCCGATTCCGAATGGCCAGGCAAACTTGATGAAACCTTTATGGAGTCGTCGCAAAATCATTATAAAACTAATAATCAGCTTAAAATTCGTTCGATCTTATTATGTGGCTGCGAGACACGACCAATGAAAGTAGAAGATATCAAGAAGTTATCTGCCTTGGACCACTTATGCCTAATATTTTTCGAATCTACCGAACGGATAAAATCACTGATTGACATCCATCTTCGCTGCTTTCACTTGCATTTCACTTGCATTAACAGCACTTTCAGAAAGCATCGCCTTCGCTGGTTAAAGGACGTGCAGCTGACACACTTGCCGAACTGTGATCGTCAAAAACGAGAACTCAATCAAGCCCTAAACTTATACGGCCAAGAAAAGCTTTAAACGTATAAGTGGAACACTGATTTAGTTGGCAGTGATTCCTATTGCTCTCCGCGATGGCGTTAGATCGAGCAGCTTAAAGATGCCTTATCAATAATGGTAACAGCTTTTGGAAAAAAAATAGAATAATATTCCTAAGCTAATGTGTACGTTTGCAACTGAAAAAGGTCCACAGATTAAAGATGCTAGTGACCCCTTAATTAATTTTCTTATGTCTTATGAGCTTATGTCTCTTATATAATATAATAATTTGACAATATTATATAATAATTTGACAATATTAGTAGCTTGTTTGTGTTATTTTGCGACATTTGCGACTAGTTATATTATAATTTACCATTTACCATTATATTTTCCATTAAATCATTCATTTAAATTCTAAAATATTTGAAATATTTTTGCATTAAGTAACGAACGACACGTAATTTGAATCTCGATATTGCCGAAAATCGCTTGTATAAGACTTCGCAATTTCCGTATCAATTAGATCAGCACCATGATAAGCACCGCACATTAAGCTGAAAAATAAGTCTTTACAAAGAAGACTGACTTACTGAGAATTGAGAAAAAAAAAATATAAATAATGGTGCGAACTGATTTCTAAATTTCTGGGTTCCTGGGTTTTGACCTGGCCAAGCCCTCCTATGTATTTTTTAATGAAATTTTTTACATTTACTGAGATGTATTCCTATTGAATAAATTAAAATTCTAATAAAATTCCATTATTTACTTACCAAATAAAATAAAACAGAAAAATTATCTCAAGAAAAAATTTTCAATTTTGTTGAATCAATTTATATTGCAAATTAACTAATACTCTTTGGAAGAACTTACAATCGACCTTCCTGATGCAAATCCATGCAGCGATATCGCTTCACTGTCGAAGACTGAGCTGATGGACGACTTCGAGGAATGATTACAGAACGACTGAAACTTCACACTTTCCTAACTTCTATGAGCTTTATTGTGAAAAATTGCGCAATACAAGAAAAAATTAAAATAAAAAATCAAAAAAGAATCAATTTTATAAATATTTGACGATATCATTAGGAAAAGTAAAATTTCGCCGAAATATTTCCAGGAAACTATTCGGACAAAGCATTTAAAACTTAGTAAATAACTGTAGAAGTGTAAGCCGAAATTTTGTCGAGCGACAACGATTCATCGGGCAAATCAGAGAATGGAAGGAGTTTATAGAATGGCACTTCAGGCGGGACGGCACACATCGCATCGTTGCTGCATGCCTTTTCTTCTATTTTCCTTCCAGAAGAAAATTCGGCATTCCACTTTATTTCCAATCCTTTTACATGGAAAAACGAAAAAGTGAAACGAGAAACCGGAAAATATTACTTACTGCAAATTATCAATTCTACTTTGAATTATCTTCCTTTTGATTTTATAAAAATTTCTGTGCGAATAATGGTTTTCTAATTTAATGCGGTCGAGAGGTGAAAGCGGCAAATCCTCCATTTTTTCCCTTCGGATTCGACAATGGACCTGCGGATTCGAAATCTGCCAGCGTCAACCTTCCACTCTTTGTTATCTGCAATATTTTCTCGAAATAGTTCAAAAATAAAAAAACAACCTTAGAAGTTACCCAACTACTGCCTCACGCAAATCCATTCGAACATACTAATACCACTACTGTCCATTAAATCTTCTAACATATATAGTTTTGAAATGGTGTGTGAACCGAATCTGCGTCTGACTTTTGGAGAATTTGGAAGCAGCTGTTTTTTAGGTTCAGAATTGTACGAATTACTAAACTGTGAAACATAGTTCATTGTTTGGCACTTTCGCGTTGGCATCCACTCAGAGCTTGTTGAGTTCCAGTAAAATTTCTTCTGTTAGTGTGAGCCAACGTGAATGCTTACTCAGTGGAAGGGCTGCAGCGAAGATTGGCGAACCCTGGTTGCGTGAATCGTCGTGGAGAGTTTGCATTCTGCAGTTTGACTGAAGGAATTTTAGAAAAGCTCGTATTTCAGTCTATCCGCTGTTCGATTTGCGAACACAAAACGAAAAGTTTGAAGCGAAAATGGCGAGCAACGAAGAATTTAATTAAGCGCAATGAAACGATCTAATCATGTGCTCCATCTGAAGAAATTCGTGTTCTATATTTGATAGGAATGGGTGATTACCAGCCGATAGGCAATTCGATTGAGCTACACGAACTGAAAAATTGGGTCATTCCGGAAAAACTCCCAGAATTAGCCGGTAAGGGTTACGTCAGGTTCAACTTTCCCGAAAAATTGTTGGACTTTGGCTGACGTCTGTTAATCACGCTCGTTATATCAGTGAACTTTTAGATTATTATTTATTCTCTTCTTTGAAAAATTCCTTTATCAGCAAATGCCATCGAAATTCCTGGAAAGATTGGTCTTTGAAGTAAGAGCTGGCAATAAGCAGAGGAACAACTTTATGCATCTTCTTGAGTGGATGCTAAGTGCTAAGTGGTTTCGGCTAAAGTTAAGTTAAGCCATGATGCGTTCGATTCACAAGACTATCACTAAAAGTCATCCTAGCGATGCTTGTGCTCTGCTTTTTTCTCCAAACAAAATAGTTTCATCCTAATCAGTTGGATTAGCCAAGCTAGAAATTCTGGAAAAAAGAATTTGTTATTGAATAAAGATTTATCAAATTACGAAAATATCTTATTTCTTCAAAATCCGAACGAACTTCACAATCCAGTAATTCTCAGATTAAATTCTCGGATCCTTTCTACTCGTTTTATATGAAATTTCTGGCTTCTTTTATTGAATTTCAACTTGAATTTTCCGAAATCGCAATCAAAATCCAAAATTATTTAAATAAATTCCGTTTAAATCCCTAGTATGGTTTTAAGAAAAAAATTGCGAATAATTCTAATTATTTTGTAAGAGCAAATTCAAACTTATAAAACAAATAAATAAATTTTATTAAATTAATTATCAATTCATTTACCCAAATATTTCTAACTTATTTCATTTATTTAACATTTGGGTTCCATGGCAGAACGACACAAGTCAAAAATTTACTTCGACAAACAAGAGTTTTTTTGCTGCAGGAAGAAATTCACAGATTTCCATCAATTTGATCCCTAATATACTTTAAACTCACTTTTCCATTATGGTCACCTAAATATGTGAAATCTGCTTGAGAGACTTCGCAGAAATATGGCTTGCCAAAGATTAAATTTACTTGTCAATGCTCACCATTCTTCTAAAAAGTTGAAATATGAGTCCTCTAGATTACTGGAGATGTTGAAGCTTGCCAGAAATAGCAAACTTTACGTGTGGTTTCAATTTGCAGTGGGTTTATTATAAATAAACAAAATCCCGAAGAAAAAACCTCAGAATTGTTATGAGTTATATTTCTCTTATGTTATTTCCCTTCTACAAAAGAAGATGGAACCATCTTTGAGCTAAAATTAAAATTATAACCTTTTTACTGTTAATTATATTGTAATATAAGTCATTTTTTGTCGAATAGCTATTCACTGTTTCAAAAATAAACTTTAAAAAAAGCTTTTTTCTTTCCAACAAAGTCTTGAATCCTTTTTCGCAATGTACAACATGCCATTTTATCACTACTACAATCTATCACTGTGTCTTTTGTCACTGCCACATTTTATCACCGTGTCGTTTTGTCGCTATTACGTCTTGTCCCTGTCTTTTTTTATATTGGTATTTATTTATTCACGAATATTTCAAGCTACATAAACTAATCAGAATGTCTTACTTTAGCTGAAAAAATCAATGCAATGCATAATTTTTCTATTTTCAGAAGGCCTTTAATTTACATACAAAAGACATCGGTGATCGTGTGTGACATGAATAATCAAACCATGTTGCTTGATGTTCATTAAATTTCATATAAACACAGTGAACATTTGGCTCATTTGGCTGCGTTGAATCCCAATTTAAATAAGTTGCTTGACTACCATCACTCCATTTATATACACCAAATGTATCATTGAACTTGTTCAGTCCAATCCAAATATTATTTTCTGCAATCCACAGTGATAATTTACCGTTTAAAATTGGTATTTTTGCTATTTATTTATTCTTTTTTTAATTTTATGTTTTATTTCATTGATTTTTTTTTCTAAGCAACTAAATTTGAAATGAATTGGACGCAGTGGCTTACGTACTGGCTTGGATTAGCATGCTAAGAGGTTTCTACATCCGACTGCAATAAATTTGTCTATATAGGAAACGTGTGCTGCTTGCCATCTACTTGTACTTTTTATCACCAAATCTCTCTAAAAAACTTTTTATCATGCAAAAACCAAAATTGGCGCTAATCTTTTGCTTATTTTCTGAAAAAAAATCTTTCCCTTGTTATTTTTTCCTAATTTTAAATAAAAGAATATTTGTAAGAACGAGAACGTTAGGAGAAAATAAAAATTTAGCGTCATAAAATTTTACAAATTTTTCGTCGCCAAAAATATTTGCGAAAAGAAATATTTAACTTTTTTCTGATTGGAGTTATTAAAACTGGAAAATTTCCCATTAAAAAATTTAAACAAACTTTCGCGAATTTTGTCGACAAAATCATTTTCTCGTTTATTCATAATGCTAACAAGGTTGCCACCGAATGTCCGACAATAATTCTCAGCAGAAATCCAGTATAATTCTATTTTGAATTGACGATACCAATGTAACTCGTATAAGTACCAACCCTAGTTGAAAATTTCATAAAAACAGCAATAATTTGATAAGTGAAACTTCGAGATTAGAATTAAACATGGAGGAAAACTGGCTATTTCTTTAGCTTTTTTGAATTATCCAAGCAAAAAAATTAAAATGTGTCAAGACTTTCAGCTCTTTTGGATTATAGGAACCACATTTTATCTCCTTTTTATTTGTCGATAAAGAATAAAAACAAAAAATTCGATAGCATCATACCCATTATCATAAAAATTATCAATTAAGTACTGTGAAAGAAAGTAAAATAAACCTGTTGATTTAACATAAGCATCGTCATTAATCTAATAGAGCTATCTAAGGTGCCATTACTGAAGTATTTAATATTTATCAATTTCGGTACATCAGTATTATCAAAATATCCGTTAACAGATTTTATTAATATAATCAACAGTAATGTGAAGGAATACATCTATGGGATTTAAAATTGGTACACCGATATCAATTAAAAGAGAATTAAATAATTGATGTAGGAAGGAAATACGATATGTTTCATATTTATTTGCTATCATTGTTTATTTTAAAATAAAATGAAAATACATAAAAATTTCGTTGGAATTATGATTTAATTTAGCTTAATTTAGGCAAGCGAAATACTTCAACTTCAACTCATTGTAGCTTGATTAGATCAAAACGGCCATTAAAGGTGGGATCCGAGTGGTTGTTGTGGACTTACCTCTCTCGAATTTTGCACCAAAATTACCTCACTCGTTGCCACTGGAGCGAGTGGGCGTGAAATGGTACCGCCAAGAGAATGTGAAAAAGTTTAAATTTTCAACGTTTATTATTCGTCTCTTCGAAAATTTTTTATTGTACCAAACGCTATAAATTTTTGGTAATTGCTTATACTATTCATCAATTTATATTCATAAATAATTCATAAAAAATGTTATATGTGATTCACACAAAACCGGTTGAAAATGTACTATAGTGGACTATACTAACTGAAAATTTTTGTAGATAATTTCACTCATTATAACTGACCGCGATTAACAATTTTAACTCCTCTCATTTTCCAAATGGTCATATAATTTTATCGCAAAAAGCATTGCTGGTTGGTTGGAATGAATACTGGTTATGAAGTATTATTCATCCGTCTATTCATCCGATCATTTGTCCTAGAATGTTCATCCTAGGACCATCCATTTCATTCTTTGATTAATTGAAAAATTAGGTAACTTGCGAAAAACAAATGGAACTTAATGATCGCATTTTCATAATAAAAGATCAGTATTATTTATTAACTTTGCCATCCATCGAATTCATTTAATCAAGCAAATCTTGTTTCAGACAATTTCGATATTTCAATTTCGATATAAAAATTTGCTTTAAAGCAATCTCCAGCGCAATCTGTTTTATGAATATAATAGCGATTATGTCGATTCGATGAAATTCGATTTTTTGTTTGCAACTATTTTTCATTTTTGTTATGCTAGACGTATAAAAATTTCAGGTAAACCTCAAAGTTTTATGGATAAGACTTAAAGGTTTTTCCTATCCTTTTTTGCTATCCTCTCCTCTTTTTGTCATAAAAAATATTCATTTTCCAAAAAATACTGCATTTAATGAGGTCCTTTATTTAAATGCTCCATTGTCGCTGGTACTGCTCTAGGACACATAATAATGTAATAATATAATATAATATTTTTGAAAACGAAAACTTTTATCTTCCATAAATTCTTATATTGGCAGAGCAAATTATTTAAGCCAGTGTCTGATACCAAAAGCGATTAATACCCCTTCAGAAGTATTTAGTATATCTATTAATTAAAGGGCTAATCTCGCTGCAACTTATACTATACACAGTAAGGAACATAACGTAATTCCTTTTTCCATTATTCTTTATAAAGGTCTTCTTAAAGGTTGGAAATAGGAATTCGAAATACTTAAATTATATGATGAAGGGAATAGAAAATTTTCGAGACAGTAAGGCACTGCTGAAATATATAATAATGAGGGATTTAGAAGAAAAATTTCAGAAAGATTGATTGAAAAATTAGGTAACTTGCGAAAAAACCCTGATAAATTCAAAAAGTTTTGAGAAATATTAGTTGATTTGAAAATTTGTGCAAATTCACGAGAAACATTATTATTAACAGCACACATTTGTCGCATAAATTGTAGTTAAATAATAAAAAATATAGAAAGTTAGCAATCAGTGAAGGAAAGGAAACGAAGGCTAATGCAAATTATAAGTTACTAGTAAATGTATTTGAAGAGTATTCCAACCACGTTAATGGGCGATGCCAAGGTGGATTCGACTGCGATCCTAATAGCACATTAACTTGTGTCCCTCTATCTGCGATTCGTGATTGCATTACAGATTGTCCTAATTCTGCTGACGAAAGTAAGCTTTTTTTATCGCGAAACTTAGCTAATTTAGACATCTTTTCTGATTTAGGAGCTTCCCGGAAAATCGTTTTCAAACAGAGCTCGAATTTGGCCGTCTGGATTTCGCTTTAGTGGCAAATCTCGCTAAAAATAAGAATGCTCATTTTTAGATTATTATAAGCACCAAATTATCGTAATTTGATTGAAATTAAAGCTATCGCAAATTAAATATCGAATTCAATTAAAATTATCCCACCTATTTTTTGGGTGAAGCTTATTTTAATATCGCCAAATTTTTATTGAGAATTTCAAAAATAAAATTTTTTTTTCTTTACAAATTTCTTGTCGCCAGTAGTAGGTGGAACCGGCAGAAAACAGCGGTGAAGGTCAAGATAGCTAGTTTGAGCCGCAAACCGCGTAAAGTTGGATGTCGTCACAAGCACAGTGTAATGCTCGGTAAATGAATAGAACAGGGCTTAAGTGCAATGTACCATCAAAAAATGATTTGTAGCGAAGGATCAGTTTTGCGAAAAATGCAAAAAAACTGTAGTGTATCAGTTTCACTTTCACATATATGTCTTATAGAATGTGGTGAAAATGAAATTTTATGCGATGAATTGACGAAAAAAGGCTGTGGCAAATGTGTGCGAAGTGATCAACTTCAAACACGCTGTAGCGATCGACGATGTTCATTTTAAAAATTCTCTTTTTAAATTTTTGAAAACTGAAGTTTTTTAAAATCTCAAAATTTTGGAACATGAAAAAGCCGAAAAACTTTGTTGATTTGCGAATGATCTCAATTTTAATTTAATTTAATATTTAGGATTATTTAAATTCATTTCTTAGAAAAAATGATATTTCAGAAGTGCAATGACCGAATAAGCTTAGCGAAAAATTTTTAGGGCGAGGTCTTTGTTCCGAACCCAATCATTTTAAGTGCATACACACACAGAATTGCGTACTACCACAGTGGATTAACGATGGTATCGATGACTGCGCTGATGGATCAGATGAGGGTTTGTCCACTTTGTCTGATCTACAATATCTATGTCTATGACATATATCCCGTAGTATCTTTTTTCTAGGCTCAACTTTTAATAGAACAATTTTGAATTTTTTTGAGATATTGAAAAATGCGATATTATTGTAATAATAAATATCATAAATTTTCGAATGTTTGAGTTTTAGGTATTTGTGCAAATGATAGCATTACATGCGCAAAACCAACAGATAAACCATCATTGGTGCCGGCGCCACTAAATTTTTACGGTGATAATTATGCACCCGAAAGTAATTATTTGCATTATAATTCAGAAACGTATCATTCAAGAAGCTTTATCACCAAATTTAATAGTAAATAGAGAAAAAAATGATTCCGAATGGCAAATGATAAAATGAAAATTATTCTATTAGTTAGAACAATGATTCTGCTTCTGAAGGAGTTCGTGGGAATAAAACTGTCATTGTCCAGGTGACAAGTGGCAATACTGATAAATGACAATATCTCAATTTAAAGACTCAAGAAATGAGGAAAATGAGGAAACTTGTTTTCTATCAACTGATTATACTATATTTTATTGTCATCATCCTTGCTAAAAAAATTTGATTCCAGAACACATAGGCAAATGTTTAGAAGGTGAATTTAAATGTCTTAGTGGTAACGAATGTATTCAAATTGCACTTGTTCTCGATGGAATTTATCACTGCAGTGATAAAAGCGATGAAAGTTCGTTAGATTGCATGTTTTATTTTATACATAGCAGCTCAGCTTGAATGTCTGTCGTATATTAAGAAAATTTAATCGGTGCTACTGATTACAAGCATATACTTCTGCTTGGTTGAATTCTAAAAATAATGATTTAAAAAAAGGGGAGCAAACTGAGGCGATCGCCTTCAGATATCAAATGTCTAAAAATGTTCAATAGAAAAATGAAAAAGAAAGAAGAAAAGTAAAGAAGGCTATATTGAAACATATTTCCAGACTATTGTGAAAAACTCTCGAAAGGAGAAGAAGATTGCCCAAATCGCTCGCAGCCATGCAGTTTTGATCCAAATATTGCTTCATTTACTTGCGGTTGTTCAGCTGGAATGATCCGTTCAGCTAACGGCATTTGTTTACCAATTTATGGTTAGTAGAATTTCAACGTTACGTCCTAATAGAGTTAAATATTTCTTAAATAAACTTTCGACTATCGTCAGTAATCCTGCAAATATTAATTGCCGACTTCTGTTCCGAAAAAATAGTTAAAGCTAAATCCTTTAGAAAATCCAGGCAGAGAATTTCAGCAAATAAAACTATAAATTATAACTATAAATATATAATTAAGGAATCAAAAAATGAAAATACCATTTTTCTAATTTTTTCTAGTATCCATTGGAATTATTTGTCCTAATTTATGAATTATAGCACCGCAGTATCCTGCTGATTGTGCTGATTTGCAACATCGTTATCATACTATTCGTTCTGGCTTATACACTGTATATGACTGGAAATGTCCTCAGCCAAATAAGTGTAATTTTAGCGTCATATGTGATATGGAGATATATGGTGGTGGTTGGACGGTGTGAATGAATATTTTTATTATAATTAATATTTATTGCTCACATCTTTCTGCGAATAATGTTAGCTGCAAATCGTATGCAGAGGATTATTATAAGCAATTAGTAATTAAGCACTATAATAATTAATGATCGCAAAATTCCTGTTGGTTCTTGAAGATTTCATTTTGTTGTGAAACGTTTAAATAAATTTAACGAGAAATAAGATTTTACAAAATAATTTTTAGTATACAATTTTATTTCATTTTTTTAATGTGAAACTCTTAAGTGATAAAATTAAAGAAATTATGTTGATTCCTGAAAAATAATGCTTAAAGATTGTAATGCAAAGATTGAATACTTCAACGAATTTTTCAAGGAATTCATTTGATTATGAGCAAGGATTTAATTTAGACGAAAATAATTTTTGGATAGGTTTGTTTAGTTTTTTCGCATCAAATTTTTATTTTTAAAATTTTTATTTTCAATATTGCTAATAAAACCACCTTTTCTATTTATTACATTAAAATTTAAAAAATTCAAATTTGCTTAAACTACAAATTTTTTATAACTTTATAATTTAAAACAATTTAAAAACAGTAGTTTCAAATTTTTGTGGCAATTTTTAAAAATTAAAATTGGCTATCTTATATTTGAATTTTAACGTTAAACCTTAATTATATAATAATATATAATAATAATAAATGATAATAATAAATAATGATAAAAAATATCATTATAATAAAAATTTTTTTAAGAACCCTCACCATTATTGGTTTGATTCGTTCCGCTGGCTTATAGAACTAGAAAAATATAGCAAGGAGTTACTTGGCGATAGAAATGCAGGTGATTTTCCAGCATCACCGGATTTTTAGACAGGTTTACTCCTGCGGGGACCAGAACCTCAGCTTTGGCGCCACGAATTGAGCAACAGCCCACTGAGATATCCTTGCCCTCCTCTAATTCTTTCTATTAAAGGAAATGAACGTCTAAATCGATTAACAAATCGTCCACAGTGTGCAAATGAATTGCTATTGCGATTAAGAACATCAGCTGAAGATCGAGTAATTCTCGTACGATATTCGCATTTCATCGTTTGTGATAAATTATTACAATACAGTCTTAATCTAGGACCATTAACATATGGAAAAGATTTTAGTCGTTAGTTTTTTTTCCATTTATAAAAACTTAATTCCTGCTTCTCCAAACAGTGCGCACCAATTCGAATTAGGCTGACTGTAGTGCTATAAAGCTAAGCCGCTTCCAAGCCTTCCGATGGCATATCTGAAAAAGCTACCCATTTTCCTGGAGACATATAGGTGAGCCACTCATGTTCAAAATCGCTTCAATTCGTAACAAGGCTAGTCTCTTGACTGAAGCTCTTCGCTTTGACCGTTCTACACTGTCCATGTCAAGATTTTATCGTGGAACCAGAGATACACATGAAATCGGCGGCGATGTAATTTAACGTATTGGTCCATTTTTTCTTAAATTTCGCATTTATTCAATCTTTTAAAAAAGTTTCAGCAAAAAAAATATTCTCTAAATAAACCGATTTTTCTGAAATTGAATTAGAAAATGAAATTTTCGCAAAAACCAACCGACTATAGCGATTTCTGCGAAAATTTTTCCGTGTAAATTTTATCGAATTGCAGCTGTTGATGATTTAATTGAAAGCCGAATGTCACCCTTTTTAACGACTGAACAAACGAATTGCAAATCAGGTGGTGGTTGGTGGGTGAAACGATGCAATCAGAAGGGAGTGCTCACTGCCACGAACCAAGCTCAAGCCGATTATCCAGGAATAACATGGAGCGGACACCGTCTTTCAGAAGTTCAAATGTTAATCCGGCCTCGAGCTTATATTCCTCCAGCGAAAATAATTCACTAATTTAAATTCTTCGACAATAAAATTTTATTACTCTCAAATTCATTGAACGATGAAGATTACTTTAATGTAAATGCCTTAAATTTCAACAGAAATTCAACAGAAATGAACTCAAATCTCCTTCAGTTCCTTCAATTAAATTTTTTTGGAAAATCTCCAAAGGACAAATATTTGTATGGCTTATTTTGGCTTTTGCGGGGACGTGCTTTACACTTATTGCTGACTGATCATACGTAAATACATTGGTTGGTCACCTGGAAACCTCCTCACAGTGCTTATATCTATGATAAAGACTGCCAACCTTTTTTTATAATCTCCATTATCATCTAACATTTTAATGACAAATTTAACAGTCCAAGGGCGGAAATGAATTGTCCGCCACCGAAGTAACATAATTTCATTCTACCTTCGATAATCCTACCTTCTTAATGATTACCATTTTTTTCTAAAAGTGCTTTTCTGGTAAGGCTTGCTGCTCCGCTGGCTTGTCGAATTTTGCCAGTGTAGCATTTGGTGATAGAAGTGTATGTGGGCTGTCAGCAGGAAAGACAGGTTTATTTGTGCCGCTAGCACCACTTCCCCGAAATGAAGGCAACAATCCGCTCAGCCATTCTCACCATAATTACAACCGTAACGAACATCCAGCAACACATCTTGATGATATCACCAAGCGTTGATTAATCATATCTATAATTATTCATTATTTATCAAATATATAGAAGGGATTCATCAAATAGAAGCCAACGTCATTCACGGCACAACCGTGACTGACTTTAACCAGTAATCCTTACCATAGATGATTGCTGATAATTATAATCATCATGGATAATTTTATAATCAATTATCAGCATGGCTGAGTTATCACCACGATCTTCAATCTTACCACAAACCAGTGTGGTTCACGGTAAATATTAGTTTTAATCACCACTTTGGTCACAACTGCAACTAAAACTCTTCACTATAACTGGTGAACTGGTTCAACTAGTAAGCAATGAACGCGATTAGTCGAGCAGCTCACTGAAATCAGCCACAGAAGTTGTCCTGCACACATATCACAGCAAGGGCCGCTATTTTTTGACGCAACTTTGTCTTCTTATTAGCATTTCGGCTTCGCACAACGAAAGGCTGTATTATAGTACCAGCTGACACAATTTGAAACCATTCTTTTCTGTGGGTGTCCCACCTTTGGCCTTCCGCGTCGTTTGTCCTTTGGCCCAGTTTTTTTCACTTTATTCGGTTCCATAAATTTACGACTGTCCAAAACTAAAATGTGCTTCAATAAAGGTCTAAAATGTTTTTAGTACATTTTTTGAATTCGCAGTGGATTTTAAATAAATAAATATTATAATATTTTTAATTTAATTTTCTTGAATTGTAAAGTTTGTAGGAATTTCAGTCAGTTCTGAGTAATTTCTAAAATTCTTTTATATAGGGAAATTAGAAATAACCGCGAAAAAAATTTAAAAAATTTTTAAAATCTAACAAAAAATTTTTTCGTAAAAAGCTCTGAGAGGTTTGGTGAAAGTTGTGGCTTTGGTGCGAATTATCTGAAAGTTTTGGGAATTATGAATTCTTTCGCATGAAAACTCTGAAAACTGATATCAATTGTTGTTAACGCAGTGACGAAAAAATGGCATTAATTAAACGCATCCATCCAATAAATTTATGTATATAGTAATAATTTTTTAGATATTTTTAGTATTTTATTAAATAAATATTAACAAATGTTAGAATAGAGCCAAAAGAATGTATGGTTGAATTATTAGCGATGACGGATAGGAAATTATCGAACTACGATGGAAATATTGGTCGAATTCGCTGTATCTTTAAAATATCATGGAAATTTTATGCTATTTTAGCTGCCATACTTTCGATTACTTCATTTGGTTTATCATTTGTTATCACTTCTGCGTTCCTTATCATTTGTTTTATTTTTGGGTGAGTGTTTTTGTAAATATGCTCCAAAAAGTGAAGTAAATTTCCCTATAAAATTTCCAGCTTTTTTCTTTATTTCCTATTTGTGATCTTTCTTGCAGAATAAGCTTTATTTAGTGCCAATTTAAAGATTTTTTTTAAGATTCGTAGTTGGTTTGTTTAAATGGGGCTACGACAATGTCGAAAATCGCCATGGAACAGTATATGATGATATCGTAAAAAATTATAAATTTTCATGTGGCATCAGTCGGTTCATTGCAAATCGTCATCGATTTCTGGATAAATCTATTTATGATCATGAACATTCTATGGCTCAGTCAGCAGTTCTTGATCCATTGCTGGAACAGGTTAGTTAAAATCATCCAGAATTCGCTTCAGATTTCAATTCCAGGTGATTTCAATTGTTTGTAAGCGTTTTCATCAAATTGTTAAATTTTTAGATTTTGGGATTAGCTATAAGAGATTTTGTGGACAGTTGGTATGGAAATATAACCACTGATCATTTATTCAGAGAGAGTATTAAAAGATCGGCAAGGAGAACTATCGCAGCATTCTCGCAATGGTTATTTATAATTTTTGAGGATTTCTTATTCACCGTCAACTGTAGCCAGCTTATTTCTGGCAGAAATGAGTAATTTTTATATGCTTTTATTTGCAGCCTACGAAAAGTGGATTTTGTTCCATTGTTGACACAACATATTGTGGATGATGTTGCATCTCATTTACGTCTTTATCGAAAAGCTAAAGTAATTATAATTATAATTATATAATTTGCTCTTTATCACTGAAGGATCACTTGAAAAAAAGCTGGATTTCTTCAAGGACTTGTCTGTTTTACTTGTTACTTGTTTAGTTTTTTGTTTTAAAGGAACGATTTCGAATATCTGGCAAATCCAATCCTTCACAGGAAGAATTGGAGACGATATTTTTTGATCTTGAACTTGAAATGGAAAAGAGCTATTGCCGTGATTTGGTGTCAACAGATCCAAAATATGAAAACGGTATCGTTTTATTTCATTGTCAACCTAGGCTTCTCAGTTATCGATATCGATTGAAGAGATTTTTATATTATGATGTAATTGTTTTTTTGAAATCACATTCAATAGTTTCGCGGTTTTTAAATTGCCGCTTCAAGAATGATGAGTCAGTAGTAATTTCTCGATTCATAAATCTTGCAAACTTGTTGCTGAATTTCGTGGATTCCTTTTCTTCGAGATTTTAGTGATTTTAGTGATAGAGGTTTTTGAGGTTGGAAGTAATTTTTATTATTTAGCTTAATTGTTTAAAATTTTTAGCTTATCTTCACGATATTGTTGATATTCTGCTTTATCTCTTAATGCCTAGTGAAGATTTTCGTTCAAGACCACTGAGATTCCTTATAAGAGAAATTGTGGTTTGTAGACTTTTTCTTCCTGTATTAGACATGTTCAGCAATCCTGATTATATAAATCGCATAATCGTTTGGCTGGTACGCTTTTTTTTCAAATTTTTTAAATTAAATATTTGATTGATTGTCAAGGAACAATTTGCAAACAAAACAATTTCAAAACAAATATAAACAAATAAATAACAAATATTAACAAATATTTATTTGAGGATCTCATTCAAATTTTTTTCAGCTTAGTGAAATTCAATTAAAACCGGAGGATTTTATAATAACGTTGGAGATGAGCTCGAATATTCAAGAATTAGAAGCGATTCTTGAATCTTTATATGAAGAAATAGCCTTATTAAGAACAAAAGATGCCGGTGGTGAACAGGGTTAGTAAATTTTATGGTAAAACTGAAAAATACTCATTTCATTTTAGTGAGACTTTTATATTTGATTATTTGAGTGAATGTTGGTTCGTTATTCAGGAATATTCGTTAAGCAGCAACTCGCAAGTGTTAATTATGTGATAAATTTAGTTAAAAGAAGGATGATGGATTTAACAAAATTTTCGAAAGATCTCGTGAAACCAGACGTGAGTTTGGAAATTAATAATTTTTGCAAGTGCAACCGTTATTTCTTCTTCGCTCCATTTTTCGCTTTTACATTTTATTGTTTGACTGGCATCATTTACCGTTAAGATGAGAACAGAGAATCACTTGGGCATGGAACCTAATTCCATTGTTTTTGACTGGTTAAATTTTCCCAGACTACTTGAATCCAAATAAAGTTATGGTCCTAGGCTACGACTCGATGATCCTACCCCTTACAATTGTTCAATTGAGAAATAACAAAAAATTGAGTTTTAAATATTTTGATTTTAAAGCCAATTCATTGCCATAATGACTTATTAAGTGATAATATTATTAATAGCATTAATAAGACATTAGGGGTTTTTGATTGACCTTTTCTGGGCCTTGAATTTCCTTGAATTTTTTGCAGGAATTGCGCAATTCGATGGGAAGTTCGTTGGTTCAGCTGCCAATATATGTGGTATTAACGAACAGTATTGCAGTTGTTTATTTTACGGATTTCTTAACTTCGGTTGGAGGGCAAAATTTGATTGATTGTTTTCTAGCTATAGAGGTCTTTTACTTTTTTGTTGGGATTTTTCAATTTTTAATTATGGAGACAATTTCTCCATTTCGAAATGACCCAGTTCTTCCATAATATATTTAAACTACCGTTGAGATTTTAGGGTTTCAAAATATCAGTGGAACACCAACAGCGTGGATTAGCTGTTGGAGAAACTTTAGAAAAAGACGTTTACGAAACGGTTAAAGAAGCAGCCATTTTTCTTTACCAGCAATATCTTTCTCAGGAGGTTGCGTAGAAGAATTTTGTCGGATAAGTTTGTTTGGATGAGCAATATTTATATTTATTTATTTTTTCAGGCTATCACCCGAGTTTCATTAGATGATGCTTCAGTAAACAGTTTTTTATCATGCTGTCATAATGATGAGCCTCCAGAAATTTGGTTTGAAAAAGTTCAAACAAAAATTGTTGAGATTCTGGAAAAGGTTTATTTTCGATCCTAATTTTATCCACTGTAAGTTTTATGTAACTTCCTTGCATAAAGAATATAGAATATAGTAAGAATATAATGTATAGAAATTTCTGCTTTAACCATTTAGGATGAGCGATTCTACCCATCGTTCAAGAAAGATCCCCTTTATGAAAAGATGCTTAATAGTTTGGGAATTAATTCAGACGAAATCGACCAACAATCTGTTAGTTCTGCTTTTAGCGAAGATATAAATAGCCAACCTGTTTCTTCGGATAAGGATGATTGTGAAATTGAGGTATTATATTATTTCTTTTAAAAATTCTATAATATTTTGTCGCGAATATTTTTTGTCATATTTTCAAAGAATTTTTTTCATCGTTTGATTCCTTAAAATTCAAAAATTGTTCTAGGGGAAGGATACTGATAATTTGGTTGGAAAAAGAAGAAAAGGAAGCATGCAAGCTGTTGTTGAGACGCTAGGGCTTGGTCAACAAGGAAATCAAACTTTTGCTCTGTATAATGTTCGTGTGTCGCGAATTGATGAAAATGGAAAACCATTATCTAGTTGGAATGTTATTCGTCGTTATTCTGATTTCCACATTTTAAATTCTCTTATACAATCGCGTGTTAGTCTGCGATTTTTATAATTTTATTTAAAAATAATTTATTTCTTTAGGTTTTTGATGCATAAATTTCTGCCTTTTCTGTCTTCTTATCCTATAGTGCATTTTTTTGATGATATTAAATTAATAAATTTTTCAGTATCCAAAGTTGAATAATCTCTGCTTTCCTGGAAAAAAAACTTTTAACAATCTTGATTCGCATTTTCTGGAAAAAAGGACGAAGGCACTAAATGTTTATATGATGGTTATGGTTATTTAAACCATCAAAAACAAATTTATTTTCTGCTCATACATATTACTTTTGTCAGCATTTTCATAAAAAAATAAAGTAAAAAATAAAGCACCACTGAATAAAGTTTTAAATTGAATAAAGTTTCAGAGTATCTTGAAACCTTCTGTTCTTCAAACTAATCAGGATTTAGAGCAGATCGTCTTCAATTTTTTGAGTCAAAAAGAGTATAGTGGAGAGCGCGAAGGATTTTCGAGAAAGGCATTTATATTTTTTTTTGCACCTTCTTTATCATTTGTTGAAAATATGTTAACCATTCTTTTTTCTTATTTCTTAGCGTTTTTAATTATTGAATACAGGTAATAAATGCAATGTTTGATCCCATCAAAAACGGTGTGCGTGCATTTAGTAACGTGGTAATCGCTGTTCCGGAATCGGTTTATGGTGGTGTAACCAAAGTTAGTGATGAAATCAATAGAGCTGCTAAGCAAATCATTGGAGCTCAGTCGGTTCAAGTAGAATTTAAACCTTATCTTTTTAGATTCGATTTACTCGTTTTTATTATATTTCGTCATTTAAAATCTTTTTTCTTTTTCTTTTGCAACTGTTTCTGTATTTATTGTATGGTTTATGTAAATCAATGTTTTTTTCGATAAACGTTAGGTAGAAATGAGCAGAACTCGAAATTTCCATTTTTGTTAAAAACCAAATATTGTAGATTTATAAGCTTGCTAGTCTTATCTTTTATTTTCACAGCTCTTAAAAAATAGCGATTCAAAATTTCTATATTCTCTTTGAGCTTATCATGAGGTATTGCATTTTAGAATCAAAGTACAAATCTGATCGGTGATGACGATTCATCTCGTGTTGCAGCAATTTATAACGATCAGGTATTTTTTTCTTTTTCTATTTTCTATTTTAATTTCCTATATTTCCTGAAAGGAAGATAGTTTATAGTATCAACATAAACAGAATAGAATTAAACTGTCAACATAAATAGAATTTCATTAAGCAAATTTAATCATATTTATTAAAGCAGTGGATAGAGAGTATACCTCTTCGTGTTTTGGTTCTATTTATTGATGAAGTGTTCGGTGTTCGTGCTCGCAATGCTTGGTTTCGTCGGAGGCTTGTATCACTTTTGCGGCATTTCGTGCATGTTTCCATGGGTTCTTCAATAAATCGCAAAATTATTGATTTAGTACAATGGATTACTTCAGAACAACAAGTAGCTCAATATTTAATTGCTTTTAGGTAAGAATTTCGTTATTTTTATCAGATATTTTTGTAATAGCGATGTTTTTTGATCAAAAAAAACGATAATCTTTGAACATTTATTGCTTTTAATTCATGGAATAGAGTCTTTATATCATTTGAAGTTTAATTCTGTTAATTTGTTCACTTGGTCATGAATATATCTTCAAGTGAGGAGATTTTTCTCGAATTTTTTTTGTTTTATCCTCCTTATTTTAATTTTAGTTGGCGCAAAGGATGAACTAGCTATAATTTCAACAAATTTCTTAAGAACTGATGTTTATTTCATTTTTTCCTGTTTTATTTTTAAAATTTTTTGAATTTTTCATATGCTTAGAAATGCTATTTGGCCTGGTGGTCAATTGGCTAGTGCAGTCGAAAGCCGTCCACATGCAACGCAAATGCGTTCACAGTTGCTTGCACGTGCTTTACTTTTGGCAGCATTACCTGATGAACTTCGCCTATTCATTGGAGCAGAAACAACGAATACAGGCATTCAAACAATTTCTGATGTAATTCGAAGTCGCAACCTCAATCGCCGCCTTTTTTATGTTATTTTTGAACGATTATTGCTAACAATTTTTCCAGATAATCGGTTTGAAAAAATATTTCCACAATTGCATTCAAAAAGTCCACGCTCAAAATATTTTTAAACTTTTTCTTACTTAGGCCCTTGCCGAACGATTTTATCAGTTTGATGGATAAAATATATACTTCTCATCTTTTCATCTTTAAATTAAGTTAAATAATTAAATATTGCTTTAAATTGTTCCATTTTCGTTTTTTATTTTCTTTAATTAATTTATTTATTTTTTATTCATTTATTAATTTATTTATTTAATTTATTTTTTTACTAATTTCTTTGGTAATCTCTGTAGTATGCCTTAGATTTTAAAAAATTATATTGTAATTACATTTTGAAAAAAATATATTAGCTCTGGTTTTCACCATATTTTTGTTGAAATTTGGTGATCTCATAAATTGTTAGATGCGGGTCATTAAAGATACGAAATGAAAATTTGGAAATTTTTTATATTAATATTTAGTTCTCATTTTTTTGTTTTATATTTTATATTTTTTCGAAAAAAACATCTTAAATTCCTAATGGATGTTTTTAGGAAACAATTTCTATGGAATTTATCCAAATTTTTAAATTATATTTTTATTTTTTACAAATTTTTTATTAATTTATAATTATACCTCCATTTTTTCGCTACCATTTATTAGTTTTATTGTCGTCAGTATTGGATTATTAGGATTATGTTTCACACGTATTTTTGATTTCATTTAACACCACTGTATTTATGGGTAAATTTTTTTATATTTTTTTGAAAGCGTATTTAATTTTACATTTGAATTTTGTTAGATTATGCTGTTTTAACGTTGTGTTGAGATTGCTTATTGAATAAATTGAATAGTTTTATCTTTTTAACAAATTTTAAAACTGAAAATATTCACAGTACAAATATTTTGTGCAAATTTTGAAAATTTGTCTTTTGTGGTGATTAGAAGGAATCGCAGTTGACGGGGAAAATAGTTCATTTTTTTGTATAGAAAAAGTTAGTTCTTGTGAGAACTACATAATTTTTCAAAAAATAGATCCGATATTTTATGAGTTTTACAAATTTTATAGGTTTTTATAAATCTTAGGAACCACATTATATGGATAATTTGATTAAAGAAGAACTCGGGGTAAATGTTTTGGAACCATTTTCCCGTGCATCAGGTGGATGTATAAGCCAAGCAGCTGGATATCACACTGATAAGCTTGGTGATGTTTTTATCAAGATCAACAGCAAAGCTGAAGTAATTTTTGTTTTTTACATAATGTGGCTTTCATATGATTGAAATTTGGATAGATTTCTTGCATTTTTTTTCACATGTTTTCATAATTTCTCGCATTCTACAGGGGATTGGTTTATAAAATTAGCATTCATGAATTATTAAGATAATTATTAAGATGAATTATTATGAATTATTTCTTAAAGGCGGGACAAATGTTTGATGGTGAATTTGCAAGTCTAAACGCGATATATGAGACGCAAACGATTCGTGTTCCAAAACCAATAAAGGTAGATTTTGGATTTTTAAGTTTTTCAGAAAAAGTTTCATCCATCTTGCTTAGTTATAAAAGTTTTAAAGATTGTTTGGTTTCTTTCTTCTAGAGTATCAAGGCGGATAATCAATGTTATTTGGTAACAGAGTATCTGTATATGAATGGCTCACCAAAACCAGCTGAATTAGGGACGAAATTGGCAAAGTCAGAATTCTTTTCGAAGGCTTTCTTTTCTGTTCTCGCTAAAGCTTTTCTCTAACATTTCTCTTTTTTTTCCAAATTAAAAGTGAGTGCGAAATATAAAAAAAAAAAACTTTTAAGAATTTTTATTATAGATTACATGCTCATAATGCAGAGCTTTTGAAGGCTAAAGAAAAAAGATGTTCATTCATCGGTGGTGCAGAAAAAGGTTCAGCTGCTGTAACGCAGTTCGGTTTTGATATACCTACGTGTTGTGGTTATATCAAACAAGTTAATGATTGGTCAGATGATTGGGTGGTAAGCTCTCATGGTGATAGCTTAATTCTAATATCTCTAGTTTCATGATAAAAGGAAATTGGATTTACATGCTTTAATCATAATCATCGCATATTTCAGGAATTTTACAGCAGAAATCGTTTAAAGGCTCAAATTGACTTGCTTCTTGAGGTTCTGAGTTTTTATTATCAAAAACCTAAAAAAAAATTCGTTTCGAATGAAGCGATAATTTGGAAAAATGATGGTAGATATAATTTAATATAATAAAAGTTGCAGAAAAAAGGTGATCGAGAATTACTGGATTTATGGCCAAAATTGGAGCGCAAGATTCCATTGTTTTTTCAAGGCTGTAAAACCATTGTACCGAGTCTTGTCCATGGAGATTTATGGTCTGGGAATTACTCTTATGATGAAGACGGTCCAGGCACGTTTCTGTGCTAGACATAGTTTCGAAAATTTCATTCGAGAAATTTCTGAGAAAATAAATTTTTTTTCAAATATTTAACTTCAAAAATGTTTGCAGTTGTGTATGACCCAGCATCATTTTACGGTCACAGTGAATTTGAAATGGGAATAATGCAGATGTTTGGTGGTTTTAGTTCTGCTGTATATTCAGCCTACCATAAAATAATCCCCGAAGAAAATGGATCTAAAAGTCGAATCCAACTTTATGAACTTTTTCACCATCTTAATCACTGGTTAATTTTTCACCATGTATACTTTTTATTTGATAATTTTCATTGAGAGTAAAGAAACACAAATAGGAATAAGAAGTATGGATAAAAACGTGGCAGAGATTTCTAACTGTGGTTTTTTCTTGAATTCATAAATTATCCATTTGTAGGAATCATTTTGGATCTGGCTATAAAGCTGGTGCAATATCAATTATGAAATCCTTAATATCAAAGTGATTAATTGCTTCGCTTCTGTATTAACTGTATTTCTATACAGTTTTTTCTGGGTTTTTCACCTGAAAATGAATTCATATATATATAGTGGTCTCTTTTTTTGAAGGGTTTTACTTTTTTACAAATTCTTATATAATTGATCATCCTTTTCCTAAAATTATGGATGAATTGAAAAATATAGGGAAAGAAATACACTAAAATACACTACATCATCATTGTGAATTATAATTATAATATCAAAGATACAGCTCATCTTTATGATTTGGTTTTTTCGCTTCTTATACATTTTTCCTTATAGAATTCATAATTTCATAAACTATAGGTTCACATTTCTAGAATTTTTATTGTTTTTTGTTTTTTTATGCTAAAAATTTTAAATTGAATAAATTTTTTTAAAATGCTTCATCCTTCATGAGTTGTTTTGAAGATTTTCATTGTTTCTATTAATGAAAAAGCGGGTGAAACAGATACTTTAATAAGTGAACACAAATTATCTTTGCAAATTGCCATCGATATTTTATCAACATATTTCTAAGAAAAATTACAATAAATTGATTTTAAAATTTTGGAAAAATTATAATATAGAGCGAAGCCGTAATACGTGCTTAGAAATTCTTTTAAAAAATTACGACACGTCATTTCGCATAAATTAAGGAATTGAACGAAGATAAGAAAATTTTAAACGTGAAGGTGACTGAGATCTGAGCGATATTTTTTGGTGCAAAATGATTTTTTGTTTTTAAATTGGTTCGATAATTCTAAAAAGATTTTTTTATAGTGAAGTGAGCGGTAGTTTTTCTTTTGAAATGTCGGACAGTTTTAGTTGTGGCAAAAATTTTGATGATTTAAGTCAAATAATTTTTATAAATCGTTTCGAGTTTGACCCCTCGGAAAGTTATCGTCGAATTTATACAACTTTTTCAACTGCATATGGAAGTCGTTGCCTTGAATGGTTGGTCGCCAGATTTTCTCTTCCTTAAAATTTTTGCATAATACCCACCATTTCTAGTTGCCTGGATCCACTTGTGCCGCACATTTTGCCAGAGAGTCATTTGATGATAGAGATAAATGGGCCTACAACATTACCAACGTTACTAACCCATTTAATGATAGGCTATACTCATATTAGAGCATGGATCAATCCAATGTCACTATGTTAATCATGGGCGCAAACTTTAAATCCAGTCCCGTTCTGGATTAGCTAAAGAAGTAAGATGTCAGAACTCAGATCTCCAATCCACAAATACTTTATATAAATGTATACTTTATTTTTGTTTTAAAGAAAAATTTCTTTTCTTTCTCGCTACTTGTGAACAGTAAGGGTCATTTTTAATTTCAGGTCCTCTACCAGAGGACTGGGAAATTGAGGGTTCTGCGAATATCTTAACTGTTCTTAGCACTTTTCTGAAGAGAAATCTGGTGTTGTTCTTGTTAAAGCCCCTTTTCTAGTTTCAGTTCCACTAGTGTTCCATCACTTCTCACATCTCTAATTCCTCGTTCAAGCCTTCGTATTTTTCCAATTTCTCGCATTCCTTCTTCCTAACGTTCCTGCCACTCGATACTGTTATATTTATCACTAGCTGATTTCTAGTTCTCGTCTGGTATATCTGGTTAATTTGCCGGTATTTATCTGCATGGAGAAGTCCCACAGAGCCTTCGTCTTTAACCTGAACGACATCCCAATGTCCTTGCTGTAGATCCATGTTAGATGAATGAGCAAGTCAATATCCCGTTCGATTTCGGCATAATTTCGTCATCCATGAATATGGAGGAGATGACTGTTGGTAGTTCGCTCTCGAACTTGTATCCATACCCATTTCTTAAAATTATCTGGCAGGGAATTTAGATCTATGCTGAACAATAGGAGAGACAGCGCTTTGATACATACCACTTGACAGCCACTTGTGCAAGCTGTTTTGAGTTAATTTCAAGTGTTGTTTTCCACAGTCCCACCGACTTCTTGGAATTTGTTATTTGGTGTTTATTTGGTTTTCTATTTCTTTATAAAGATTAGTAGCTGAAATCATGAAATCATCTAAATTACTAGCCGTTCCACTGTTATTTCTCTTAGATAGATAGTAGGTATTAATCATATCTGGGCCAGACGCTCTCCAGCTTTTCATATTTTTCATATTCCGCTGTTGGATGTCAGCAACTGGTAACTGGTAACTGGTCCCTATTCTGGGAGATTGCTGTGCCTCGTCCTACAGCCGCTTAACATTAGTGTTAAAAACCAAATAACAAATCAAATTCATTACTAATAATGCATATACATAATTATATACATATAAAAAAAAAACTCATTTACTTCTAACTAATTAAATGAAAGTTGAATCTAATGGCTGTTTTCCTCGAATCGTCCTAATTCTGCATTTTAAGGTATTTTGAACTGTTAAGCAGTGGAAATGCGCCTTTCATGCGTTTAATTCAACGACGAATACGTTCAGACGAAACGTTTCCAACTGTCGAATGTCAACAAATATTCCTTTTTCTAACAAACGACGACAGCTTAGGCAAATCTTATTTTTATAATTTTTTTTATAATTTTTCATTATTATATTTTTAAGCATTTTGCGGGAACTTTTTGAAATATTAATAATTTTAACAATTTTACATAATTTTCTAAAATAGTTTATATAAAATAATAATACAAATTCATAAATTCTTTCAATGCAGCAAATGAAATCGAATTCAATATTTCGTTCAGTGGTTCGTATTTTATAACAGAAAGTAACGAATTCCTGGAAGCGGTTTCGCGAAGGATTCGCGACAACAGTTCGCACATTTATCGAATAATTGTCACAATCGAAATGAGATTTGAGTCAGAGGCCTTTTTTTCATCCCGAAAAAACTATTATGGAATTCTTGCAAATCAGTTGCCTTCCGACGATTTTAGAACGCAAGCATTGTTTCATTTTATTGCGAAGTACCTTTTCTTCTTTTATTTTTCGCTTTGTTTCTGCAAATTTAGCAAATATTCGCTTTATCGAAATGCAAATTTGCTTGGACAATGCGAGCAAAAACACTTCTGTTTTCAAATTCAGCAATTAATTATCTGAAATTCTTCGCTTTTATGCTCATAGCGAATAATAATTATCGTTTATTATTTAAAAAAATTTGTTTAGTTGGAAATTGGAAATTTGTGCAAAAAAATTTCAGGGATTTCGTAATACTAGCAAATGACGGGGAAATTCGTACTTCTAAATATTTACTGTATTTGTCGATGGAATATTTTCATGAATTATTCACTGCAGATAGTACATTAAATTCTATTACACTGAATTTCAATCGAGAAATTATCGAAAAAGTAAGAAAATCGACAATTTCCACCTTTTCTTTATTAGTTTTAATAATATTAATAATAATTTTCTTTTATTATTTATTATTATTATTAATTATTTATTATTTATTATTAATTATTATTTTATCAGAAATTCTAATTTTTATTAAAATCATAAAATTTTCATTGATAATTTTATTATTATTATTAATTTTAATAAATACTATTCAATTTTATTCAATTTTTTTCCTTAATGATTTTCAATTCTGCTATTTTCTGCAATTTTTTCAGTTAATTGATTTTACATATAAAGGAATTTTCTCTTTTACGATTGATAAAATGAATGAACTCGATTCCATAGTGCAATGTATTAAATTATTAAAACCTTTGAAAGAACATATTGTTTTAGAATGTATTGTCGAAATGCTAACTGAATATTTAATGAAGGTTATTTTGCAGTCATTTCAACAAAAGAACATTATTTAGAACTTATCTGCTTCAATTCAGTTTCCATTTCCAGTTTGACTGTGCACTAGGAAAATGCACTAGGCAAAGGATCTTTCGCCAGAGAGTCGCACATAGCTGTTAGTCCAATTTAGCCAAATGTTTTAAATGCATAAATATTAGTTAAATGTGACGAATCGACGTTTTTACAGGATTGGGAGAAACTAAAATTGGATGAAGTGGTGCAATTATTGGACGTTTCATATCAACATTTACTAACAAATGTTTTTGATTCAGCGTTTAATTTAATTATCAATAAACATTTCGTTGATTTTCAGTAAATTTACAACATTTCTTGCAAAATTTAAAAACTTTTGATTTTGTGAAATTCTTTCCAAGAAATTCATTTATATTCCATAATAATTAATTAGATATTTAGAAAAAAATTTTAAGACTGGAATATAACGAACAATCGGAAGGTGAGAAAAGGATAGTATATCGTCGATTACGTCGTTCACCGCTTAACGGTTTATTATCACCAATTAATCTTATGATTTCTATATATAATAAGCGACAAAAATTATATCGAGCAATAAGATTTTGCAATACTTCTAATTCTTATCAGATAATCGAATAAACATTTGAGGAAAAGTTGAATTGGAAGGCTTAAATTTGTAACAATGAAGTAAATTAAGTCCAGTCGGGTCGGAGGTCAAAAGCTTAATGGCATTTGATTTCACAGTTTTTCTTTTCTGTGTACTTAACTTTTAACTAACGATAAAGCACTTAACATGAGATTTTTATTTTTCAATTTCTTATTATTAATGAAAAGAAACAATTAAGTCAGCATTATTTCCTTTTTTTCTTTTAAATGTTACAAAGTGATGCAAATGATTAATTCATTTGGATTTTTTATTTCTTTTTCATTAATTTAAACAACAGATAAATAAATGGAAATGGAAATAAAAATAATGGAAATAAAAATTTTAATACAAACTAATGCAAAATGAGAATGAAATGAATGAAAACAATTTATGATTTGTACATTTGTGTAAAATATTAGTTGAAATAAAATTTAATTTAGAGGAGAATGAATAACAGATATGGAATTGGCTAATAATTTTGCCATTTTATAATCATCATTTTGACGGCGAAGAATTCCATGAGAACCGCCAAAAATGTATGGAAATCGCATTACGTAATACCGCGAATATTCCAGACCAATAGGTTTTTCACCGGTATGGAAAATAGTTGAACGTGACTGCTAAAACAAAAAATTAGTCGAAAAAAATAGAATTTTTTGCTTAAGAAAAATAGATCAGAAATAATAATTTACCTGAACGCGTGGATTGATGAAAACCGTAACTGGAGCTTTAGGAGTAACGATATGCAAACGCATTAATTGAGCATAAGATGAACGACGGCAGCGACATTTCAACCATAGTGGAATGTCCAAATTTATTAACTACGAAATTTTTCGTGATTCAAAAATTAAACAAAATCAAAAAATTCTTTAAAAATGCAATTATCTCGAAATTAAGTGAAAAAATAAAAAAAGCTTTAAATATTTCAGTAGCTATATATATTGTACCTTTGATGTAGAATCCATTTTATTTGATAAATGCTTTTGCCCAAAAATAAAACGATGACCGCGAAGGCATTCAAATTCGAAACCAATGAAAAGCTACAAAATAATGGTTTAAAATATCAATAAAATAAACTCAGCATTGTATTAATGAAATTATATTAATGAAAATTATATTTATCCAATCGATAATTTAACTGAAATATCAACAAATAAATAAAAATATATAAATGTACAAACCTTAACCCTCTCTCGAGTGTTTTCGCAAGTGGTTTTCCTTAGACGACGAGAAATACCGCCAATCATTTTCATATCTTCTTCCCACTTTTCACGATTCACTGTTAAGTAGAAATCAATTGGAATCAAATAATGCAATCCACTTGTGAAATTAGGCATATCTCGTAAGCCAATTTTGCGGCTGAAGCCATTTGGCTTATTATTTGGCTTATTGGATAATTATCAGATAGAAATGGATATAAAACATACCTATACAAACTCGCTGAACCTAAGCAAACGAGACTCCATGAAGGAAACAGTGGAGGTTTAGCAATAGAACTTGTATTTGGAACACATTCCAAAAATTTGCCTGAAATTTCGTGATTCGATATTCATATTTAGATAATTCAAAAATTATGGCTTAAATTTACAGTGAAACAGTGCAGTACAAAAAACAAAGAATTACTATGAGTATATTTCACAGATAAATGAATCTTCATTTAAATAAAAAAATAATACCATAAGTTTGATTTGCATAATTAAATAAAGCGAATTATTATAAATTATTATTATAAATTATTAAAATTTATTATAAATTATTAGATAAATATAATATGTTTATATATTTATTAATATAATATATTTATATATTTATAATATAAAATATTTATATTAAAATAGTAGATGGAAATATTGACCCTTATAACAGCGTCGTAACTTAGCGATTCTTTCCTCAAATTCAATTGCAATTGCACGCATTGACTCCGACTGTTTAGATAACTGAGGTGCAGCACCATCAAAAAAACAATATGATTTTTGTGCGCCTGCTTCATCCAAATAACAAGATTTAGTGGTTGAAACTGGTTCCATATTTGAGAGTTCTTGAGAAGTACTTAGAAGTTTTTCAAGCTGAATTATCATATTAATAAATAAAAATATCGAAAATTGGCGAAAAACATTTATACTAGGCTAACTGCAAATGAAAAAAACGTTTTGATTTTAAGAAAAGGGGTAAAATTAGAAATTAAATATTGTAAGTAAAATAATGCAATCCAACCAACAAAAGACCACAAAAGTTAACCGATGTCGAGAAACAAATATTATCACCATCAATATCACCATCATCACCATCGTCATCAACATCATCATTATACACGATACTTTTCTCTTCTTCATTACCATCCATCATAATTTCATCAAAATCAGCGATTAGTTCAGTATTCGGTTCATTGTCTTCATTTGCTGCAAACATCGATTCATCATGTTTGCGATGACTGATTAAATCTTCTGTAATTATGAATTACATGGCAAATTAAAGCGCTAGAAACAATAAACATTATTTATAAAAGCAATAATTAAATGCTTGAAGTAATTTTATAGGTAAGTAAATATAAAAATTTAGCAATAATTAAATGCTTGAAGTAATTTTATAGGTAAGTAAATATAAAAACTTCTTGTCATGAATTACTATCTGAAAAAATTTCTTGTCATGAACTACTATCTGAAAAAAAATAAAAAAATCTGAAGTTGATGATATAAATATTTGATATATTGATATTTGATATAAATATTTGAAAGTTGATATAAATATAATTACACGATGATCTAAATATAAGCAAATATCAATCTCATACTCAAATTTTTTCTTATAGAATTTCTTTTATAATTTCTTGCCTTTATTTAAATAATACCCCAATCAAATAGTAGATAAAAAAGTTCAAGAATTGAAGAACATAATATTATATTGACTTTCCACATATTAATAAAAGGAAAAAAAAGCAACCTTGCGATAGTGCATTGCCCAAATCTTCCAAACTTCTCGAATCATGCTCTGCTGATTCTCCTGAGATTTCATTTGCCTCTGTATCTTCTGCAAATAAATCATTAATTATAAAAAAATAGACCGAATGGTTCAGTGCAGTGTTGCTTTCATATTGGAATCCCCATGCCGTGCGATATTGGCGTTCCACCGATATATTATCGTTAAGTAATTGTTTGGTAAATTTACATGGTTTAACAGTGGAGTGAATTAGACCAAAGATGGCCAATATTTTTAAAAAATAAAAAGAATACTACAATGCTTTTAAGTTTTTTAGCTTGAAAACCTTTTTGATCAAGATTTAGTCGGTTCTCCACGATTTCTTCCATTTCTAAACTGTTATCACGATCCATCAACATTTCAAAACCTTAAATTATCAATTTTAAATCAAAAATTAGAGAATAGAGGAGAATAGAATGAAAGCGAATATGTAAGAACATGATATATCAAGTAAAATAATTGAAGGACTCCAAAAATATTTTATACGGCACCTCTCGCCCAATTGCAATTTTAATTATAAAGGAAAACTTCTACAATATAACCTGGATTCGTCGTATTAAACAAGATTTAATTTATACTTATAAGATTCTGTATGGTTATGTTAAACTAGATTGTTCAAAATTTTTAGATTAAATTTAGATTTAAATTTAGATTAAATTTAAATCCAACGAGAACTAATTGGCTAAAATTACTAAAACCTATGTTTAGAATCTAAACTAAGGATTCATGATTTCTTTCATGATATTCGTAATATTAATTACTGGAATGACTACCGAACGATATAGCTTGTGCGCCATCCCTAGCTATCTTTAAAAAAAGAATAGATAATGTCATTTGATATTATTGAAAAAGTTCACATCATGCAGGAAGTGTGAAATTTCGATTATTACCATCCGATTATAGTTATTTCGAATTGTACTATATTATATTATTTTGCAATTTCTTCCTTATTTCATCTTTAAATTGTTTGTTTTATTTTATTATTACTTTTTTCTTTTGTCATTAATTCTTGTTATTTGTTATTTTAACTGTTGTTATTAATAATACAAGCACATGGTGTTTTCGACCTGCTGGTTTTCAATAAATAAATATATAAATGATGTCGGAAAAATATTTTAAATCATCAAATCCAAAAAAAATGAATAAATGAAGCAGTAAGAAGTAGTCTCGGAATTTAGATACATATATAGTTAAAAAATGCAGAATTTCAGCAATCAAGAGAAATTTTTGAATATAATTTAATTCAATGCAAAACCTTCATCGAAACTCTGCCCCATTAAATGATTGCTTAATTCATCTGATACACTTTCGGATATCCGTGGTGAAACTTTTTCTTCTTCAATAAATAAATTTTGATAATCTTTTTCTTCGAACAACATAAAATCGTACTGCTCCAATCTTTTACAACAATCAAATGAGGCATAAAAATCGAAATTTGCTTCCTAAATTTCTACTGTTTGAACAAGAAATAAAAAAGAAATAAGAGAATATTTATAATCACAAAAAGAATATTTGTCGCAAAATAACGCGAAATAAATTTAATTGATTCAAATTTAATTTATTAATTGATTGGTTACATCTTAATTAGCCAACAAATTTTTTTATCGCTTTTTTTTCCCATATTTTTGTATTCCCTAAGTCCCTTTAAAACATAATTACGTTTTCACAGAATGCTATTCGATTACTAATCGACTGGATAATGGTTCCACTTTTTGTGAATTTATCCTCTTTATGTTTTTAATTTAATAACGCCATTTTGTACATTTTTTAGGTTTAATTATTAAGTGAATAAGCAAAATCTGAGAATCAGAAATCAGAAAGTTTATGGCTGGAGCCTGCATTGGTAAATTTCGAAGAGTATCATCGCCCTAAGGTTGATCTGGTGGAACTGCTGTAGAATAAAACTACAATCTATTATTTAGCCAATCATAACAAACGAATATCAATCCACCATCACCACAAGCCAAATCAATAATATTGCCAGCCAATTCAACAAATATTTTTCATATTTTTGATGAATAAATTCAAAAAAATATAACTTTTAATGTAAATGGATCATTTCGGTAAGATTGTGAATAACCACAGTTACAGGCAGAGCGAAACTGCACATTACTTGAATGTAAGAACCGCTTACAAGCAGATATATTGAGATCAGATGGGGAATGGTGAATCTAAAAAAATCGTTTATAAAACGCTAATAAGGCATGCAGAAATTCCAATAAACTTTATAAATAATGGAGTATCTTATTGCAAACGAATCGAAGCTTGCTAGTTGTATAGAAAATAAATTTAATTTTACAGGAAAAATATATCCAAATATACATCTATATATCTAAAAAAAAAATATCTAAAAAAAACCAGAAAAAACTTACAGGGAGAACACATGAATTGCCCATAAGCGAAACAGCTTCACACGATTTATGCAGCTGCCAAATAGCATCACATTTACGAATGAGCTCATCTTTTACACTTTTCAAATTCGTTCCATGATAAAAAAATTCCAGATTTTCAATGGCCTTTTTTAACTAAAAATATTTAAAATAGCTGAAAATGAAGATTAATTCGAAATGTCCAATAACATTTATTTTTAAAATCATTAAAACGAAACCACTAAAACTATCTAATTAAAGCAAATATTAGAATATCCAGAATAAAATCACATTAGAAAAAAAACCTTTGCTTCATGAGTAGCTTTCGAATAAACAATTGCTTCATTACCTTCTAAATCTCGTGTATTATAATTTAAGATAGCAGTTACCAAATGTTTTGAAGTTACACTGTAAAAAATTATTTAATAAGATATAATGATTGATAAGATATAAAATAAAAATTTCCAGATTTTCTTTCTTTCATACCTCTTTAAAAAATAAAAAGAGATTTTCTGAAACAAGATTTAATTTTCCAAATAATATAAATGAACAACCTTTTTGAAAAACGAATTTCCACATTGCACTTTTCGTAAATATATTGATCAGTAACTACTTTTTTTTCAAAAATTAAATCACAAACTAATTGCATTCCGCGTACTAGCCATTTAAATTCGGGTAGCTAAAATTCAAAGCTGTGAAATAAAAGAAAAAGTTAAAAATGAAGCTGAGTTCCAAACTGCCATCATTTGGCAATTAAATAGGATATGACATGATAGTTCATAACAATCATTATAAATTTACTTCATAAATTATATTTTGATCACGACCTTTATGAATACGTTCGATAATGTTCCTAAGAAATTCACTCACATCATGTCCAGCATTGTCTAAAATGAATAATAACATTTAGTACGTTGTCTCCAACTGAACGTTTATAATATAATAATGTGCTTTATCCTAATACCAACTGAACCAGCCTAACTAGAAATGTAAAAAAATGGTTTTAAATTCAATATTTACCTGAATAAATATTATTATATATTGATAATAATATTTACCTGAATCAGAATCGCTGGATTCTTCATAGCAGCATTTTTCAAGCGTGAAGAAACTTCTGGGAATCGTAAATTGATTAACAATACCTTCATCGCACTTGACATCTCTTGTAGTAAACAATTTTAAAACATCGAATAAAGAATCTACTTTAGCTTCATTACTGGAAAAATGATGAACGAATCGAACTCGTGAAGGCAAAATAGCACAACAATTATAGC